CCCTGAGGTCTGGGTGCTTTGGATTGTGAACTCTCAGGTTTAGGGTTTAGGGTTTAGGGTTTAGGGTTTAGGGTTTAGGGTTTTAGGGTTTTAGGGTTTAGGGTTTAGGGTTTAGGGTTTAGGGGGTCCTTTCAAAACATCAGGGTTCCTACCATAAGGAATTTCAGGGAATGAGACCTCAATTCTTGACATGCGCTTTCCATGCTTGCTTTTGCCCTCCATTGGCGTGGATCGCCCCCCCTTTTTCTATCAGGTGCCTAGCTGCGTCCATGCTAGAGATCCTTTGCATACTTTTCGGGCGTTGGGTTTTTGTTAACCCAAGAGACCCTTGTTTTCCTGGTGGAACAGTGGCCAGGCTAGGGGGGGTCCTCCCAAAACCCTAAACCCTAAACCCACAAAACCACCTAGACCCGGATAGATCAGGTAAGGACTGCTCCTCAGAGCGCCTATATATCTTACTTCAGGAATATGTCCTAAATGATACTCGGATCCCTCGTATGATTCGGCCCGCAACCCTAATTAAACCGTAAATCCTAAACCTTAAACCCTTAACTGTTACGGTGTAGTGGCTTCCTGGTTGCGCAGGACAAGACACTCACACTCATCAATCGATTGAGATACAATGCTCCGGCCTTAGGCGCATCTTTAGGCGCATCTTGCACTTACGAGTGCTTCAGGGCGTGGAAGAAGAGACCACAGCCTGGAAATTCTTTAACGGGGGTTATGAGGGGATTAAACAGGGGACTATAATAGGGGTTATTACGGGGGATACTAGGAGTTTCGACTATAGTTCATATGCTCCCCAGTAATATAGTAGTTTTTATGTTCTTTTCCTTTCCTGCGTTATCAGAGGACCGCCCTTATGCCGAAAGACTAAACGACTAAACTCTGACTACTTGTTCCATTTCTTTTCAACCCGCTCATTCCATCTAACCGACAGTGAGTGAAGCCATGGCCGAAGAGACTGCACCCTTCGGATCACAAGGTTGGGTCTCTAGAGTTTAGGGTTTAGGTTTCTGAGTTAAGGGTCCGGGTTTTGGGGTTTCTGGTTCAGGGTTCGGAGTTCCTGGTTCAGGTCTGAGAGTTTTGGGTTAAAGGTTCAAATTAGGGGTTGCGCGATGCATGCATGCTTTCTTACACAAAACGGAACTCTTGGACTTCAACGAATACTTGAAGAAACATTTGAACTCTATGCAAATCAGAGTGGGGGTGTCTACGTATATCCCCAACAATGTCCATAAGAGGGTTCTAAGGGTTGGGGTAACTTAAATCACCTTAGAAATTGTCTGCCTGTCAAGATGCAAAGCCTTCGCAATCCTGACCCTACACCCCATGATCAGGTCCATGAAGGCCCAAACAGACCCCTAAAACCTGAAGCTCTAAATCCGAGCCCTGAAGCCGTAAACTCTAGACTTACTGGCTCTTGGTAGAGAATATGGGAAGATATTCTATACAGGTCAAGTTTTATAAAAACTTCATATTCCCTGATTCCCTACGACTCCCTAGTTAGTCTAAACTGTTTAGGCCTCTATTATAATCCCTATTCAGGAGGGGTGGTTCATTAATCAGGGGTCTACATTACCTTTTTATACCCTTATAGAACCCATTATAGTAGGTTCCATTTTCTTTTTCAGTATTTCAATATTACCCCAATATATCCCTATAATCCCTATATAAACCCATTATAGTAGTTTCCATTTTACTTTCCATTATTCCACTATATCCCCAAAACCCCAATAGAGAACATCAGTGTAACCTAGGTCATCAAGACCGGCCTTCGAAGTATCAGCCTGGCCTACAGCAGGATCTCGTTGCAGGACTTGTCAAAGCAGACTAAATCAGTGTTTCTTTGGAAGGAAAGTTCCTACTGAAAGTTTACTGTAGAAGCCGTTTCTTTGGAAGGAAAGTTCCTACTGAAAGTTTACTGTAGAAGCCTACTGAAAGCAATCTGATCCCTGGAGAGTTTGTATGTAAGCATTGTGTCATTCAGGCTTCTGTTAAAGGCTCAGGGCTTTGGGATGGGCTGTGGGGTCTTTGCGCGGTCTTACTCAGTCTCCATGGCTGTTCGGGTATGAGATTGCTAGAGCAAATCCCGTTAACCTTCAAGCCTTAAGCTTCCAGAGTGAATTTTGCTCGCTGAACTGCTGGAGTGTTTGCATGTACAGGGTAAAGTAGAGGGCTAAAGGATTTGCGTATGGATCTAAAGCATTATGCGTATACTTCGTGGGACAGCTGTGCATGACAGACGTTCCAGGGAACCAGTGTAATGCACCAGGTGCATAGATGAACAGATTTGTTGTTACCTTAGCTGTTAAGATGCCACTGCTGTGTGCCAACTTGAATTCAAGTGTCCTTCGCTGTTGCATGCTTATAATCCCCCTGAAGTAGATAGAATATGGGGTATATGGGGATCTTACCATAATATACTCAAAGCCATATTCTATCTACTTAAGGGGGACTATAATGGTGTGCACTTCTGCAGATGGCATCAGGGCAGTCTCGGCCCGAGCTCATGTTGAGTCTTAGTATGCGGCTCAACCCCCTGTTTTGACGACAGAGCTGTATATTGCCAATGTGCATACTCACCGCTTATGATTTCCAAGAAAAGGTTCATGTTGTCCTAAACCCTAACCAACTACTGGTCTGAACCTAGGCTTGAAACTCTTCGCAAATCCTGAACCTTATGAACCCAAATCTAAACACTAAAGTGCTTCCACCCTAAACCCAGATCGAACATCTAAAATCCCAACGTACACCCTAAACCGCATGCATATATATATGTATGGATACATCTCATGGATATATCTCTTTGACATATTCTTACACCTTTGTTCTCAGAAGAGCATACTGATCAACCACCAAATGCCATCACTAAGCTGTGTGAGGATATCTGCACAAAGCTTGGCCTCGAGTCTCCACAGGACGTGCGCAGCTTAGTCCCGTCGTTTTGGGGGAGCTGCATACTTTCAGTTGCGTGGAACGTTGTAAGCACTGGGAGGTCCATAGGAAGTTCTAGTCTACTTAAGAACAGCGCGCAGTGAGCAAAGGATAGCGGTTTAGGGCACTTCATGTTACCCAGGGACGAATTCGGAGAATTTAGCTATCAAGCTGCTGAATACATGAACCGGCCGGGTAAAACCTTATGTAGAGACCCTTGCGGTCACCTGGACAGAAAAACTCCTCGCTCCAACAGAGATCCTTGGAACTCCGTCGATAGGGGGCAGGGTTTAGGGTTTGGGGCGGAAACGACCATATTGAAGGTTAGCAAAATTCTTATCTCCCTGTACAATATGAGCCATGGGAGAAGGGGGAACCAACAACAAAACCCATGATTTGACCATCCGCTTCATCAACATAGGATCCTCTATGGATATGTGTTGGGTCGTCATCATTAGGGCTATACCCTGAAAGTAGGATCCCACTGGTGGTTAGTAGGGAATGCAAGAACAAGAGTCCTCATCTAAAGTTTGTTGTCGGGCCCTCAGCGTTGCAAAAAAAATCCGAAACTTAGATCCGAAACCTCAAAACCATTGATTCTGCTGCAAGGCTGCGGGCGTTGTGGCCAAAGCTGTGGTGGACGGCGTCATCGACGTGCTCCCTCCACGTTTGGATTGCCACGTCCCTGCTACCCTAAGCCCCAGGGTTTAAGGTTTAGGGATTTAGGGGTGTAAGGTCTAGCGTTTAGGCCTTAGGGTTCAGGGCTTCGGGTTTAGAGTTTTTAAGTTTTTCGGACAGGTCCAGGCTTTGCTGGGGAAGGTCCGGGCCTCGGGGATTATTTCTTTTCGAATCCAACCCTGAAGGTTAAAAAGGCCGTCAATGATTCTTCACCAAGATGGCTCGCCAACCCGAAATCCAAAACCCGAAGCCCTACGGACCCTAATTAAATCCTCATCCCTTAGCCCTAAATCTTAAACCCTAAACCCTAAATCCTAAACCCTAGACCTCTATTCTTCGAACAGCAAGACAGGGGTGTCCAGAAATTGCACGCCCCTTCTTGTCAGGTGCCCATGATAAGGATTATCGTATTTGGGGCCTATGTTGCAGTTCCCCATACTTTTGTAAACTGGGAGATACCACCGGATGTATTGCACATGTGTAAGAAGAGGCCCAAACCTCAAGCCCTGAACCCTGCCAAGGCTTGTTGAAACATGACAGTGACTGGGTTGCTGTTAAGGAACTTAAATTAAGTTACCACAATGGGTATATATAGTAAATTATCGGGTTTCCCCAACATAGTAACTGAAATTAAGTTCCTTAACAGCAACCCAGCTGATTTCTGACCATGGCTCGAGCCTTCCTCGCACGGTTTAGGGCTTAGGGCTTATAGTCCCCCTTAAGTAGATAGAATATGGGGTATATGGGGATCTTACTATAATATACCCAAAACCATATTCTATCTACTTAAGGGGGACTGTAAGGTTATACCCTCGCCCCCAAAAAACCCAGTCTCGATCCCTGAAGCCCAACACCCAAAACCACTGGGACGCTCATGCCAGGCTACGATTGATTACGATCAGCAGTTCGTGAAGTCCAACCAGAAGTTGGACCTCTATCACTCTACGGAGCCTCAGAAGGTGCCACAGCCAGCTTGGGTCGACGGCTTTAGGGTCGAAGCTAGTAGCCCAAGATTTCAGATGTTTGCGGGAAGGTGTGCTAGCCCTTGAGCAGTGCCTTGAAGGAAGGCACGTTTCCAAAAGAAGTTGTCCCAAAAGCAGCTGAACTTCTGAAGATGTGAGGGTTCCTAGCCCAGGCAGGGACCGCCCAAGTCATTAACCAGGTCATGTGAGCTATAATCTAAACTCCTTCAAGGGGGGTTATATGAGGGATTATATAGGGGAGTAATATAGGGGTCATTAAGGGGGATACTAGGAGTTTAGACTATGGGCTCATGCATGACGGTCTCTTTCACTTCTAAGGTGACCAGCATTATGGATGACACTTGTAGCTCGACACCCTAAACCCTAAACCCTAAACACTAAACCCTAAACCCAATTCTCAAAATTAAGACTGCCAGAGGAGACCGCAAGTGAAGAGAAAGTCCCAGGTTGTGAGCAAGTTTCAACATAGTCGTTCTACAATGCATTTTGGGATGGGTTTCACATTTCTCTACAAGGAGACCTATTCATAAGCAGGTTCGGGGTCCCTTATAAAGTACCCTCCGGAATTTGTTCGGTAGTGGTGGTTCATGCTTTCTGCATGTAGCTTGACGCCAGTTGTCTTTCTTATCTGGGTCTCTTGAACAGCAAAGCCAGTGGCCCTACATCAAAGCTTCATCTGATGATTTCGGAGAGTTTTCGGGTTCTTTTTGGGTGGATCCCCGAAAATGGGGGTTGTAGAAATTTGGGGTTCGCAGTGGGGCCCCCTTACCTGTGGAAACTACCACCTGGGTTCCTGGCTCTGGGCTCTCAGTAATTAAGGCTTCTTGACGGACGGCTTTGTCAAATTGCCGCTGCTGCTGCTCCTTGTGTGTCATGTTGCCGTTGAAGCTAGCCTCACATGAGCTATAGTCTAAACCCCTTAGAGGGGGTTATATAGGGGATTATATAGGGCATTATTCTAGGGGTTATTATTGGGGATACTAGGAGTTTAGACTATAGCTCACATGAATCCTCTAAACCCTAAGCTCCTTCCTCTACATGCTTGGTTCATTGCGGTTCTGGCAACGCGTGGCATCTAAAGTAACCTAAACCCCAAAAGTATGTAAAATACTAGCCCTAAACCCATAAGACTAGCCAGAAAGGCCATCATTTTACATACTCTTTGGGGTCCAGGTATGTACAGTCCACCAAAGCCCAAGTCCAGTGCAAAAAGAATTCCTAAGCCCTTGAACCGTTATATACTCGCTTTTAAAGGGGCCTTATAGAACCCCTACATACACCCTTTTATGTGCAAAATGCTTGAGCCCTAGGCCTTCCCCGAACATCGTAGAGAAACAAGTCTTAGAATTCTCGAAAGGCCCAGAAGCAGACGGCATAGAGCCTTGAAGCATAGCCCCTAAACTTTACTTCTTGAATCCCAAATCAGAGTCCAAAAGCTTGTAAACTAAATCCCCAAGCCCGAGCCTCAAACCTTCAGCCTGAAATCCTCAAGCATAAGCCGTAAAGCTTAAGTCCGAGATCCTAAAGCTTGAGCCGTACACGCCTAAAATGTAGGACCCTAGATCCTAAAGATGCAGCGCTCACTCGAATCCCTGTGTGAGGCCCTGCACAAGCGCATTGCCTTCTGCCTGCAGATGCACAATGATGCCGCAACTGGGTCACAGTTGAACACACTTTTCATCAAGTTTTTGAAGAATAAGAGAACCCTGAACTCTAGTCTGCAAAGGAGTGGTTGAACACCCTAAACTTGATACACTCGTTTGAGATTTGGCTTTGCAAGTGTGATTCCAGCTGCGGTCCCAACGTTGTTTCAGGTGAAGGCGATGGCATACCCGGATGAGAATGACAACAAGGCGCCAGCCTTTTGTGGATATGGATGGTGGTTCCAAAAGGATTATGGGGAGTTCTTATTCAGGAATCCACGAAGGCATTATTGAGATCTTCCCATACCACTAGCGGTAGAAATAGTACCTGAACCTGAAAAGTATGTAAACAAATAGCTCGAAACCCATAATAACAGCCATAAAGGCCATAATTTTACTTATTTTCGGGGTCCAGGTAGTAGTGGTGGTAGTAGGAGCAGTGGCAGGAAGAAGAGGAAGCGTAATCGGATTAGAGAGGAGCAGCAAAAGAGATCCAGACATGCCACTTGCAGCGATTTGTGTAGGATCGATGTGAGATACAGTCTACACTCCTTTAGGGGGGGGGGTTATATAGGGGAGTATTAAAGGGGTTTATTAAGGGGGGACACTAGGAGTTCAGACTATAGCTCATGTGACACGGGCCAGAAGCATCCTGATTGCAGTTAATGTGACTTGATGGTGCCAGGACGCAGAAGACCCTGAGGAGAAGCGGGAGCGTGAGAAGCGGGAGTTGGCCAACATCGAAGAAGATGGTGGCGATGATGACATGATCATCTGAATTCCTCCTGCGGCTTCTATCTCCACCTATGTCATCTTAAGCCTTCCACAAGCATCCTGAGATATGGTAGTTTCCATAAACAAGGGGAACCCCATTGTAGACCCCAATAGACCATAACCCGTATTATAGGGACCCCCAGAAGGTTACCCCTATTGCTCAGAAATTCGCATCATTGCCCATGAAGAAGCCAAGTAAGCTACATGCTTGCCGCGGGGGGTCGCAGATGCTCCCCTGTGGTGAGACTGTCCTTTCCGACAGGCTGGTGCCGAGTTGGTATTCATGCGGTGGATACTAGAAATCCTGCACGAACTAAGTACCCTAGACCTTGGGAATTCCGGTATTATAGAGGGATGTGTTATAGTCTACCAAGGTCATGCAGGGTTTTAGGTATCTAGAGTACTTCAAGGGGCACAAGAGGTGGGATCAGGGTCTGGGTTTTCTCAAAGCCAGACGCCTTAGGGACCCTATCCATACAGGAGTCCATGGAGGCATTTCTGAGAAAGTCCTATACCAATAGCAATAACAGAAGTACTAGTGGCGGTTGTAGCGTAGCTACTGCAAAGGGCATTATTTGGCAGCTGCATTTGTTCCAAGACACACCTTCATCCCACCTCTTGAGCCTCCTGAATACTTCAGACCTCTGATTTGGGAACCCCGGATCTTTTGGTTTAGGTAGTAATCTTTTCTAGGAGCGGCTGTTGTCAATCAGGGTTCAGCATCAGAACAGTGAACAGAGCTGCGAAAGGTGGCAGACATGGCTGGCAAAAAAGTTCGCTCTTTGGGTCGAAGACTGCGTGTCGAGCAGATATCGCAGCTTCCCAAAATAGGGGACCCCAACATAGACCCCCAATATACTTATACAAAAGTCAGTATTATGGGGACCCCCGAAAAGCTACCCCTAATTTTAGGAAACCCCAGGAAACCTCCTTTCATGGGCGAAGCTTGTTATGACGTCAGTAAGGCCTGAGCTTGTGCCGCTTTGCTGAGCCAACTTGTTTGATCTTTGGACTGAGTAGGCCTACCGACGATCCCCAGTGACCCCCATCACACGCCCAGCAGCCCTTGATACCAAGTAGACTTACTGACTTATTAACTCCCCTTACCCTAAACCCCTAACCCTAAACCTTAAACTCTAAACCCTTAAACCGAGAGCCTCCAAGAAGAGGTACTTCACCATCGACTTCGACCGACAGATCTTCTATTATGCGTACAGCGAGTCCCGAAATTCACAGGTGGCCATCCTTGGGACTGCGGTTTAGGGTTTAGGGTTGAGGGTTTAAGGGTTTCGGGCTTAGGGTTTAGGGCTTAGAGTTGAGGGTTTAGGGCTTATGGTTGAGTCTTAGGGTTTAGGGCTTAGGGATGTTCTGGGAAGTAATTTTTGAATTACTGCGGGCCAGAATCCCTAGAAAATCTCTGTCAAGCCATACCCAAAACCCTACGCCCCCTAAACCTATCCTAGTTGGATCGGAGTTCACTCCGTGCTTGGGTTTAAGGGAGTTTCGGGGTTTGGGGTTTAAGGTTGAGGGTTAAGTTAAGGGAGTTCCCGGCTTTTGGGGCTGGGGGTCATCAGATGTTATGGTCCCCCTTAGGTGAATAGAATATGGGATTGCCCAGTATCAAAAAGATGCCCATATACCCCATATTCTATCTACGTAGGGGGACTATGGACTACAGGTTGGATCGGATGCTGAGGCTTCCTTGATCGAGACCCTCAGACTGAAGGCTCAGAGCATATAGGCTTCAGGATGTAAAGCCTAGACCCTAAAGCTTAAACCATAAAACCTAAACCTTGAATCCTAAATTCCAAGGTTAGGGTTGAGGGTCCCTGGTTTTTGGTGAGGCTTTAGGGTAGGACCTGCATGTATGGAAGCTGGGCCGCTTCATGGAATATCTCGACTGCGCTGTTGCTGGGGTGCCTGAAGTTGTGACGCTGAAGACTGAGATAGAAGGAGGGTTTAGGGTTTAGGGTTTGGAGGAAGCAAGATAACGCGCGAGTTGAATGCATGACAGAGGAGGAAGTCCGGCTTGTTGGAAGAAGATGGGCACGTCCAAAGCCCGTGAGCGGAACAAAGATGGTAACAGTAGTTTCCATAAATAGGTGGACCCGCAGTATAGGCACCAAAATACTAAGCACTACAATCCTTACTGTTGGGGCCCCAGAAGAGTGGAAACTCCCAGATTCTTGTTGAAAGGACGGCTTCGTGATAGTGCGAAGGAATAACTTCTTCCATTAGGCTCAAGTTTAGGCCGGCTGTGGGTTTTCCCAAAGTTAGGGATACCTGTAAAGGGGATACAGGGGTCTTATAGGGGTTGTATAGTGCTTAAGGTTTGGGAGTTTCCCTAAACCCTAAACCCTAAATCCTAAACCTTTCCCTAAAAATAGAGGTAGGTTCTTGGGATCCCCAAAATGAGGATCATAGTTGACATTGGGAGCGCTTTATTTGCGGAAACTACCTTTTGGGTTTAGGCTTTAGGGTGTAGGGTTTAGGGTTTAGGGTTCCTAAGGCCGTATCCCTGTTCTGTTGTTACGCAGATATTCCCTTAGGGCCCCCTGGAATCCGCATGCGTAGTGACCCCAAACCAGGGGCGCATGCGCCAGGTGAATTTTTACTTTGCAAGGAATTCCTTCAAGAGTGGGATTTTCATCGCCCATTGTTCTGTTATTGATGGGTTAAGGGTTTGGGCATTCAAGTTTAGATGAACCTTCGGTATTTATCTGCTTGTGGCCTGAAATCCTGGAGGTGGTGAAGCTCCAAAGCTTCAACCCTGACCCTAAACTCCCTATACCCTAGACCCTAAACTCCGTAAACCGCAAACTCCCTCAAACCCTAAATCCTAAACTCCCTAAACCCTGAAGACCTTTCTACCCTGCCAGGCTTCCAAGCCCATTCACTTCAGGGATATCCTGGGTGCTCACTCCGGGCACAGTGCAAGTCTCAGAGCAGCAGGGTTTAGGGTTTAG